TGGTCCTCGCCGCGATCGATAAACAGCCGTAGCCATTTTGGCTCAAGGAGCTCAGGCTCAGCAGCTGAAGAAATTTTGTTTGTGAAGGGGCTAATTTCACAAGTTCCGCAGGCTACACTTGTGACTCAGGTTGACAGGTTCAGTTGAGTCAGAACCTTAGCTAAGAAAGTAGAGCGGTGGGGACAGCCTTGCGGCCCATGGACAGCCATGAGTGGCATAGGTCTCAGCTGGCCCGCACTCGTGCAACCCTACCGCGGAAGGTTAGAAGAGTGGTTCGGGACTCCTGAGAAGCTTCATGCTTCTTTTGACAGTGCAGAGGAGCTCACTGCTTTGCTTGCGTTGTGTGATGGATCGCTTTCAATACTCACAAGGGGCATGCTTGCAGACGCGATTCTGGAGTGGCAGGCAGACACCAAGAGCATAGTTGCTATGTCAAGGCGGGAGGCTAAGAGGCGCTTGTCTGAGACTCTCTCGAGTGGCAGTTCGGGAGGTCTTAGTTTGCAACAGCATTACAATCAGATTGCATCGCAGAGCCCCCTTGCCTTGCTGCCGGCCCTCAGAAAGCGGAAATTGGCCGTTGATCGCGTAGTGGACAGAGGGGCCCGGGCCACTGAGGAGGCGCGCCTTAAGAAGGATTATGCATTGCGCCTTGCAAAGGTCTTTCAAGAGGCCGATCTTCCAGTGTGCAAGATCTTAGCCGGAGTCAGTGACGCAGAGGAAGCCTGGCCGCGTCTGTTCGGCACCCGACGTGCCAAGACACTCAGAAATCGCTATCGGGCATGGGAGAAGTTCCGTGAATGGTTGGTTTATAGTAGGGGAAGGGTTTATCCCCGCGGGGTCGCAGATGTGCTAGACTTCGCAGCGGAGAAGTTTCGCGAGGGATGTGGCAAGACGGTGCTTGAAAGCTTTCAGGCCTCTCTCTCCGTCATCGAGACAGTAGGGCGTGTTCCGGAGTCCAGCCAGATCTCGCAGGACCCGACTTGGAAGGCCCAGCTTAAGAGCTATACAGCTGATTTGGTGGCAAGCTCAGCTCCGGAGCAACCTGCACACATGTTCACTACTTGCATGCTGGTATCTTTGGAGATTCTTGTCTGCACGGCTGCGGAGCCTCCTTATCTCAGAGCCCTAGGGTTTGTCGTCCTGCTCATGGTTTGGGGATCATTGCGCGCAGACGATGTGCAGGGTTTGCTGCCGCAGACAATGGAATTGGATGAACGCGGGCAGGCGATTGAGTTGGCCCGGTCTAAAACCACAGGCCCAGATCGGCGCACGCGTTCGGTCAAAGTGTTCATCGAAAGGAGAATTTCTCTAACTGGACAGGATTGGCTAAGGGGTGGCTACGCGCTGTGGCGCGACTTTGACTACCCGCGCGACTACTTGGTGCTAAAAGCTAATGCTGACTTTTCTGAACCCATTGAGAAACCTGTGTCAGCATCGACAGTGGCGCTGTATGTCCGCAAGGTTCTGAGTGTCCTCAGAACACCGAAGCGAGAAGGCAAGTTTTGGAAGGCCAATGGACAGCGACCTTTGCTGCCAGGCTACACTGCCAGCCTCTTCACCGGGCATTCGGCGAGGAATTATCTTAGCTCCGTTGGGGCGGCAATTGGCGTAGACCCTAAGGAGCTGGATTACTTGGGTCTTGGGTCGTTGGAAGGTTGGAGGTGAGGGATCAGCAACGTACATTCGCACCTCGAGGCAGGTAGTTCACCGTTTGCAGCTTCATATTGCGGAGGCACTTGTTACAGGACATCCCAAGCAGTACATCGAGGTGGAGGCTATCAAAGCCCTGACTGATTATGCTGCGCAGGTGGGCGAGAGCGAGGCTCAGGTTCGCAGACGCCACACCATTTTCGAGGGGTCAAAGGGCTTGGGTGGGGCCTGGCCCACACTGACCGTGGAGGTTCCTGCAGTCTCGCCACCGTCCCCGGATGCTCAGGAGATTGCCACGGGCACCCAAGGCCAGTACTTTGTGGTCACCTCCCGGACCACAGGGCTCAGGCGCTTGCACATGGTTGGCTGCTATGTGAAGCCTGAGAATTGCTATCATGTCAAGTTTGTGGATTATGTAAATATTGATGATGTGGATTCAATTTGCAAAGATTGCAAAGCCCGAATGAAGGCTCAGGCCGGGCAGGAGGAGTCAGACCCCTCCAGCAGTGATACCGACAGTGACTCCTTGTGAGGACATAAAAGGAGGAAAGGCACCTCTGCTGCGGACACGCTGCCAAAATTTTGCGTCGCGTTTGGTAAGTGCATGTGCAGTCCTGGCACTTTCCTCCCGGGCTCTCAGAGGCGGTTTTGGGCCGGAATGTGGCTGTTTGGCCGGCTTTAGTGGGGCCCGCAATTAATCTCTAGTAGAGTCTACTATGGGGCCTAATAAAGGGCGGCCAAATCCCGATTTTCAGAGATCCCCACGGGAAAAGTGGCTTAGATCCGAAGGATAGATGTCATTCGCGAGTGCATTCGAATCAGGCCGTTGGGCATGTCATTCGCACGTGCATTCGGGCATCACGCCGTCTCGTGAAAAGCTCAAGCAGGGCTAACATTGAGCATCAGGCGCAGACCTCAGGGTGCCGCAAGGAATCCCGCAACATTGCCACAGGCCTCAGGGCGGCTGCTGAGAGTTGGTCTTCACAGCACAGGCCCGAGTGGGTGCTGTATCCGTCTACGGCCACAGGCTTCAGAGCGGCTGGCGAGCGGTTCGTAGTGGTGCTCTAGGTCCATCCGACGCCATGGCCTCAGATGATGACAAGCGACAATTGATCACCGGGGCGGATAGTGATCTGCAGTTCGTCCTCGGTGAAGCAGGGCTATCGCTCGATGCGCAGTACAGGGTGGTACAGCGGCATACCACGCTGCGCCAATTCCAGGCAATAGCTGACTCTCGTGCCGAGGCACGGGTGGCCGGTAAGGCAGACTTCGGGCTGGCGGATGATACTGCCGAGGGACGGCAACAAATAGCCGGGGTGGTCGCTGCGTGGGAATTGGCCCGCGACGTGATTACCAAAGAAACAGAGACTCGTGCTGAAGCTCAGGTTCTCGGCCAGCCCCGCATTTTGCAGGTCACCGAGCGCCAAGCTATGATCAAGGCGGTGGTGGCTGTTCATGGCCAGCTGGGGGAATCGGAAACTCCTTCAGCAGAGTACTTGGCCTTGAAGTGCGAGGAGTGCGAGGTCAACGAGCCCCAGGCCTCGACCTTGGATGCGATCACTTCCAAGAAGAGCACTTTGACAACTAGCATACAATCTTCGCTTGATGCCTCAGGCCGCATTCACATTACGCAGCATAAGTCCAAGAGCGAGCTGCCAACCACAACAGAAGCCTATCGCAAGGTTTTACGGGTTGAGGCCTTTACGTGGCTTTGCATGGCGGCGCGCTTCAAATCCAAGCAGTGGCTTCAGGGCCTTAGGCTCTCGGACTTCGACCAGTTCGTCAACTACATCCTCGGCGAAAAGGTGGCTCAGCTTAATGTTCCTACTTCTCATCAGCCCGCCGATGTGCCTTCGCTCAGCCCTCCTTGGCATGTGGTTCTAGCGTACGAACATAGGCTTCGCAAGGAGGCCTTCCGCTTGGTGAATGAGGAGGATCAGACCCTGTCTGCAGCGCTTGCGAGTGTAATTAGTTCGGCAGAGCTAAAGGAGACGTACTTCACGACCCCCCTTGCACTTTCCATCATCGAGCGCCCTCGTAAATGGTACAAGGGCAAAGGCAAGGACAAAGATGGCAAGGGCTTCGGCAAAGAATCCAAGGGCCACAAAGGCAAGGATGACAAAGGGGGCAAGGGGGGCAAAACTGCGACTTCGGATCCCGCGCTCAAGGGCCTCACTCTAGTGTGGCGCACCCCAGAAGGCCGCGACATATGCTTTGCGTTCAACTCGCAGGGGTGCAACAACCCGAAATGCGAGCGCCTACACGTGTGTAGAGTGAAGGGCTGTTATCAGGAGCATTCTGCTCGAGAACACAAGCAGAAAGCTGGCAAGCATAAAGAATGACTATCGCTTGAGCCGCATCAGAGTGTTTCTACCATCGAGACATCAGAGCACATGTCATATCAGCCGCAATTGTACAGCCCCGCTGGTTTGCATGTGCTTTACATCTTCGCCGGGCCTCATCGCAAAGGTGATGTGGGCTCTTTTCTTCATGCTCTTGGACAAGTGGACACATTGCTTCAGTTTGATTTGCAACGTTCTTCGGAGCATGATTTGACAAAGGAGGGGCTGTGGCAACATATATTTCATCTTCTTGGGGATGGGGAGTGGATCCTCATCGCTTCGCCGCCGTGCGAAACGTTTTCACGAGTTCGGCATCGGCATCCAGGGCCCAAGCCTCTCCGATCTTCATTTTATCCACGAGGTTTTCCTTGGCTCAGCAACATTCATCAGCAGCAGGTGGCGCAGGCAAATTATTTTGTTGATCAGACCGTGATGGCATGTCAACTTGCATGGCAGTATTTTCTTGAACACCCGGAGGACTTGGGGGCGACCCCCGATCAGGAGATACCAGCATCTATATGGCAGTTTCCATCCATTCGTGAGCTTCAGGTGACGACCAAGGCCATCACCTTTGCGGTTTCCAATGCTCTTTCGAGGCACCCACTTCAAAGCCGACACGCTTTCTCACCAATCTTTCAGCTTTCACACAGCAGCCACCTGCATACTCTACATGGCCGCGTTTTGATTCGCAGCATCGCTATGTCGGCCCATTGCCTCCACGCTGCCCCCACGGAGGCCATGATCAGGTCTTGGCCCTTCAAGCAGAGGTGCGTCGAGTCGGCAGGGGACACTGCATTGCATGCAAAGTTGAGTGGCGAGGGTATCAAGAATTTCAAGACTTTGGCTTTCGCGATAGGGTCACCTCAGCAGCCTCCTACGGAGGCACAGTTTGAGGCTTTCAGTTCGCGGGTGTAAGGCGCGGACCCGACCATGGGTCAGACTGCAGTTTTGAGGCACTTGCATTTTGAAGCCACGACGTTGGTAGTGCAGACCTACCGCGACATGGTCACTCACGACCCTTCGGATCTTTCGCATACAAAGGTCCCCGTGCCAGAGAAGCGAGCCAGGCTGGACATGCAGAGGAAGAGGCTCTCGGGGATGGAAATCACGGGGGAGCTTGAACCTTCACATCAGCTTTTGGATCTCATCAATCAGCAATATGAGTCGGGAATTATCACCTGGGTGCCTGCGTCCAAGTGCTCGAAGCGGGAAGCAGAGATTCTTGCTGGAGGCAAGGATAAGGGCTCCCTTCTTAACAAGGATTTCATTTTCCTGTGTATCCCCTTTTTAGAGCATAATTCAGTATGTTTCACTCCGCTACACTAGGCTCAAGGACACCTTAGACTGCCGCGTGCCGCCTGAGAAAAGTCCAAGCGTTGATCCGGTGAATCAAGGAATACCTTAAAGTTTGATCTAAAACTTTCATGGTAGCGGAGCTGCTGGCCTGAGAAGCCAGTAGCCGAAAGAGCTGATCCAGGGAAGGCCTGAATAGGCAAGAAAGGATAGCTTGGAGTGGAAAGGGAAAGTGAAAGCAAGAAGTTAAGATTCGTCGAGAGCATCTTGCCGAGAAGGAAGTGCAAGTATCCTAGCTGAAGGAGCCTTGAGCCGGAAAAGTATACTTGCCGAGAAAGAAAAGTAAAGATGACGCAGCAAGGAACACAGCAAAGACAGTTCGCTGAGCTGATGACAAATTTGGGCCAAGCGACAGAAGCTATGGCTAGAGTTGCTGCACAGACAGCACATCAGCAAGAGCAGTTGACGCAAGCTATGGAAAGAGTCACTGCTGCTGCGCCAGAGCAGGGTCCCCAACGACCACCTGCTCAAGGGAATGGTGTGCCGTTCGACACGGGCGGCAAGATCCTAAAGTCCCCAGATACGTTTCCCCGGCGACTATAGAGGAGGAGGTCAGCCAGTGGGGCGATTGGAGTTTCTCCTTTCGCAACTTCCTAGCATTTATGGACTGGGAGTACCTGAGCGACCTCAAACGGGCAGAAGAGATGACGACGCCCGTAGATAGCGCATTCTTTGAAGGAAGAGATGACCGAAAGGTGAGAGGAATGAAGCTATACTCAGTGCTTAGCAGTTATCTGAGAAATAGACCGTTGAAGGTGCTAAGGAGTGTTGATGATATGAATGGATTCGAAGTATGGAGGAAGCTGACAGCTGAACTCGAACCATCGTCGCGCTCAAGAAGCTTAGCAATGGCACAAGCACTAGTTGGCTTTCCCAGCATGAGCAAAGGAGCAAGCTTGATGGATTATGTGCTGACGTATGAAAAGCTTGTGAACGAGTATGAGAGACTGAGTGGTGGAAGATATGATGACAACCTCAAGATCGGTACCCTTTTGAAGGGAATACCACTACAACTTAGACAAATTGCCAGCATATTATGGTTGACATCAATGAAAGGACGTCATATCTGGACCTGAGAACAAAGTTGCTGCAGTATGAACGGAGTAACCAGACGTGGTCTGCAGAGAACATCTTAGGATCCTTGAGTGTGCAGTCCCACACAGCAAGCAGTTCAAGCAAAGAGTATCAAGGACCAATTCCAATGGAGTTGGATAGACTGCATGATGACCGGAAAGGAAAAGATCCCAAAGGAAAGGGAAAAGGAAAGTTTGATAGCAAAGGAAAAGGAAAAGGTTATGGTGGATACGGAAGAGGCCGAGGAAAAGGCAAAGGAAAAGGAAGAGGAAAAGGCAAAGGCCGAGGAAAAGGAAAAGGAAAAGGATTTGGAAAAGTGAGGCAAGTTGACAACAAAGGCTACGGTGGAAAAGGTAAAGGTGATGGAAAAGGTAAAGGTGTAGTTTGTTACAACTGTGGAAAGACAGGACATATTGCCTCGGAGTGTTGGTCAAAGCCAGGTGACAACAAAGGAAAAGGAAAGAAAGGAAAGATTCGAAATGTGAGAGAAGAAGACGACGGTGACGACTGGAATGAGTATGCACAGCACGATCACCAGCAAGGACAATCAAAAGGAAGTGAAGACAGAGGAAACGTTCGAAGAGCTGGAGATGCGAAGGGAACTGAAAGAGTTAGGAGAATCGAAACAGGACATATGCCGATCATTGAAGAGCTAGATGATGAGGAAGACTTTGTAGACTTGAGTGTGTTGTTTGGTGGAAGTGATGGATCGGTGAGAATGATAAGAATGATCCCAGTGTTCGATATGAGCAGCGGAAGTGAAGAAGACTATGAGAGAGATGAACTTCATTGGTGGTATGAGTCCACCAGAGGACAGCAAGAGTGGATCGAGAGGTTGACAGAGACAAGCAATCAGGCTACAAGTCCCATCATAGAAGAAGGTGATGAAGACAGAGTGAGAATGGTGAATCTTTGGGATGAGAGCTTGATAGAAGTAGTTCTTGATAGCGGTGCGGACACTCATGTCCTACCGTTGAGTTTCTACTCAGACGAACTAGGCACCAGTGCCTATCCAAAGCTGAAGCTAGTTATCCGTGACGCGCAAGGAAATGCTATCCAAACGACTGAGCAGAAGATGAACATAACCTTCGAATTCCAAAAGTCAAACGGAAAGACAGTGAAGGTAAAGGATAGTGCCGTTTTCGGCAACGTCACACAACCCCTGTTTGCCGTAGGAAAATCATGGAAGTGGGAATAGAGCCAAAAGATTCGCAATCAGCGTATTTGAGGAAAGGAAAAACGATGATCCCCATCCGGTTTTCAAGAAATTCTACGGTGACTGACCTGAGGATACACAGAGCTGAAGCTATTGAAGAAAAGAAAGATCCAGATAGAGTGGTGAGAAAGCTCACGGTGAACAAAGAGATTGAAGATGATCTGGAAGGTATGAAGTATGAAGAAGGCTGGACATTCTTGAGAAGTGGTAAACCAGCAAGGATAGATTGGGATGCTAAGTACACGTACAATCCAAAGAAAGATGACATCAAAGCGTTCCCGTATCGCACAACATTGCTGACAACCTACGTTGGTGAGAAAGTGAATTGGAATGATATGGAGTTCTTCGAATGCGGAGAAGAGTGGTCAGGAAGAGAAAGAATTGAGATTACAGCAACAAAGGAGTGGAATGTTGTTGTGACAATCATGGAAAGAAAACCTTGTGGAATGGAAGAGTACGGAAAATACGTGAATCCTCTGGAGAGGACTGTGGAGCCAGGAAGAAGCAAAGAAAAGGATAAAGAGGAAAGAAGCCAGGAAGATAAAGAACGAGATGAAATTATGCAAGACTTGGATGCCATGGATACTGGTGACAAGAAGCCTGAAGATGAAAAGGATGACAGAGATGATCCTGAGAAAGCTGGAGACGATGTTAAGGAAAAGGAGAGAAAAGAAATTGAAGCAAAACTTCCAAGTATTGGTGAGTCGATGGAAGAGAAGATGAATGTAGGTGGAATTGAGTTGACTCCTGATAGTACTCTGAAACAGATGAGGAAAGCATGTGAAATCTTGGGAGTAGGAAAGACCGGAAGCAAAGCACAAGTGTGGAAGCGTATGAAGGAAGCAGTTGCTACAAGCAAGCTGAAAGAGTTGGTGGAAATTTCGAAAAAGATTGATGAGGAGTTTTCAAGAAAACCTGAAGGAGAGAAAAGGCCAGAACCACCAAGTGAAGAGGAAAGGAAGTTACACGAGCTGACGCATCTGCCAAAAGCTGATTGGTGTGAAAGCTGTACTGCAACAAGGAGTAGAGAGGACAATTTCGAGGTATCTGAAAAGAAGCATGAAGCATCATTGGTGAGTATGGATTTCAAGTTCACTGGTACCCGAGATGAAGAAAATTCCAGAGATCCAAAAGACGCACTAGCTAGCGATAAGCTTGGTGATGGTAGACCAGGAAACACAGTTCGTCCACGTGATTCCAGTACCGACAAAAGAAGCTACGTCATATTTGGTTGAAGAAGTCTGTCGAGTACTTATGTTGTTGAACTCAAAGGTTATCTTGAGGACTGACACAGAACCAGCTATGATATCGCTGAGGAGAAAAGTGCAAGTGTCAGAAAGCTGAAGAAGTTGGAGACAGAGATTCAAGATGTATCTCCCGATGCACATGAAGGATTGCAAGTTGAACGATGGGTTCAAACGGTGAGAAATTTATCCAAGACGTTGGTATATCACGCTGAGACTGAAGCGAAGGTGAAGATCACATCGGAATGCACGCTGTACCCATGGGCAGCAAGACATGCAGGATTCTTGTTGAACAGGTTTGTTGTACAGAAAGGGAAGACACCTTTTGATGTGCTGTTCGATAGAGAATATAAAGGAAAGCTAGCGCCGTGGGGAAGTGTCGTTCTAGGAAAGCAATTACCAAAGATAAAAGAAAAGGGAGAAGCATGGAAGAAAGGAATCTTTGTTGGAAAAGACATGGTGAGCAATATGAATCTGATTAGCACCAGCAAAGGAATTATCAAATGCAGGACGATGAGACAATGCACGCCTGCGTATGACGCTGAGACTATGGCATTAGCTGCAGGTACACCATGGAATAGTGAGCAACAGCATTTGGCGACAAGAACAAGACAGAACAAAAGGTTACCTCCAACAAGCGGATTGGAAGCAATAGCTGATGGAAAGATGCTACCGAAAGGAAACCAAGGAGGAGCCGATGACCTTGAAGAGTATATGCCAAGTCCCGGACCTGATGAAGCAGGATCCGATCCTCCGACGAGCCAGGAATCTAGAAGCGAAAGAGATGATGACGACGATAGTGATGGCGAAGATCCTGGTGAAGGCCAAAGAGGAGAAGTTAGAAAGAGAAGCGATAGAAGTACATCTTCTGAGGAACTGATACCAGGTGAAGAGCAACCCGGATCGCCAACAAAACGTAACCTTGAAGGCCAAGCAGAAGAGTCAGAGCCAAGTCGGCAGAGACTTGATGAAGGAACAACTGAAGTAGAGGAAAGACCTGATAAGTTCCAAGCAGTCCGAGTTGAGTATGTGAGAAGTGTGGATGAAATCAAGAGCTTTATGAGAAAGGAACTGCCAAGGTACCACATAGATGAAGAAGTGGAGTTGGATGAGCTGGATGAGTTGGAGACAGCGGTTGGAAGTGAGAATGAACCAGAAGAGTTTGCATCAGATGGTGAAGATGAAGTGCCACAAGACATTCCAAGTTGGTCTCACGACATAGAAGATGGGCCACCAAAGCTGAACGAAGTAGAGCTGGAAAAGGTTGATGGGATATCAAGGCAAAGTGAAATTGAAAGACTGACCAAGATGGATGTGTTGAAGGAATTGCCAGAAGGAGCAGATGTCAGTCAATACAAGTTCCTGTCAACGAAAGTTGTATATGATTGGAGACATCGAGAAGGTGAGTGGCGAAGAAGAGGAAGACTGGTAGCTAGAGAATTCAGATGGCTATCTTCGCATGACATCGCAAGTCTGTTCTCGCCAACTGGAGTTGCGAGCACGGTGAAACTATTGTCAGGTTTGTTTGTGTCCTCACAAGGATACACATTGGGAAGCATAGATGTTGGTGACGCCTATTTAATGGTGGAACAGGATGAACCGACAGT